AAGTAAAAGTTCAAGACAACCAAAAGTAAGTGATTCATTTCTAAAGACATTAAGAAGAAAAATGGGTGAATCAGTATCAAAATTTTTGATATATGATCGACTTCCTTTTCAATTAGCAAATTCCCCATGGTTGCATAATTTGATTTCTGTGGCAGCAGAAGTTGGCCAACATGTAAGACTTCCAACACCTTATGAGGTCTCAGATGTGTATTTAGAGTCTGAGTATCAACAAGTTCATGAATGGGTTAATGGATTAAAAGCTTATTGGAATGAATTGGGTGTCACTTTGATGTGTGATGGTTGGACCAATAGTTTGAATCAAATGCATATCATTAATTTTCTTGTTTACTGTAGTAAAGGGACTATTTTTTGAAATCTGTAGATGTCTCAAGTGTTCGTAGTAGAGATACAAACTTTTACTACAGATTATTAGATGAAGTTGTGGAAGAAATTGGAGAAAAATACATTGTTCAAATAGTCACTGATAACGAGGCAGCACTTAAGGCCGCAGGAAAAAGACTAATGGAGAAGAGAAAACATTTGTATTGGACAGCATGTTCAGCTCATTGTTTGGACTTGTGCCTTGAAGATATTGGGAGGAAAAAAATGTGGCAAAGGTTTTGGATGATGCAAAGAAAGTGACTTGTTTTATATACAATCACATTTGGACTGTTAATTTGATGAAGAAATATACACAAGGGAAGCAAATACTTCGTCTTGCTCTTACCCGATTTGCCACTCATTTCATACAATTAAAAGAAATAATGAGGCAAAAGCAAAGTTTGAGAGAGATGTTCAATTCAAAGGTTAGTACTTAGTAATTAGTACAATTATTTAAATCTAGCATCTTTTTATGATATTATTGTTTTAAAATATTAATTTAAAATATATTACTCTAAAAATTTATTGATGAATATATAGGAATTTAAAGATTCAAAATGGGGACAACAAAAATCAAGACCTGCTTATGAAGTCAAAAAAATCATTTTGGGAAAAGATTTTTGAAAAAAAGCAGGTGATATAATAAAAGTTTATGAGCCTTTGGTAAAAGTGTTGCGCCTTGTGGATGGTAATGAAAAACCAACAATGGGCTTTATTTACGAGGCTGTGGATAGAGCTAAACAAGCAATTCAACAAACTTGTCGTTATTCTGCTGAATATGAAAAGATTATTGACAATAGATGGAGTTTCATGCACTCTAACTTGCATTCAGCTGATAAGTAAACCAAGAATATAGATGGTATTTAAAAAATATGTTTATTTTTTATACTTAAATTGCTTATATATTTATTTTTTATTACTTTAATATAATATTATTATAAATTATGTTTAGGTTACTATCTAAATCCACAATTTTAATTTGGAGTGAAACATTCTGCAAATGTATTTAAGGAAACATTAGAAGGTATAAAAGCAGTTATTGAAAAATTAGAACCTTCGATAGATACTCAAATCAGAATGATTAATCAGGTTAGTATTTAATACTATTTTATAACTTTAACATTTGTTTTATGTATTAAAAATTAAATTATTTTTTATTTATTCATTTATTATTGTATTTTCAATCGATGTAGTTGTTATTATTTCGAGGCAAGCATGAAACATTTGGTAGTCCACAAGCACAAAGAGCTTGGAAGCAAATGAATCCAAGTAAATAGTAAGTTAAATAATTATAATTTATTTATATTATTTAATTGTATAGCCCATTAAAATTTAATTTAAATAATTTTATACAGCTGAGTGGTGGATGATATATGGCACTTGTGTTCCTGAATTACAAAAACTAGCAATCAAAGTGCTTAGTCAAACAACATCTGCATCAAATTGTGAACATAATTGGAGCACATTTAGCTATATTCACACCAAAGCAAGAAACAGATTGAAGTTTGAAAGACTCCAAAAACTTGTATATACCTATTATAACATAAGGTTGAGGATGAGACATCAGAAAAGAATGAGCATTGATGAAATAAATAATAGTTTTAATCCTATTAGCCTTGACCATATTTTTGAAGATGATGATCCACTAACAGAATGGTTGCAAGAGAAAGAAAATCCTCTATTAGATGGTCAAAACTCTGATTGGTTGCCTGCAGATAATTCTGATAATGAAATGAATGTTGAATGATCATGTCAATCTCAAGAAAGGAATGTGTCTCATTCAAGTTCAAGTCCAACACCAAGTCAGAGTGATGATGATGGTGGTTTAAGTTCAGATGATGATGGTGATAGAGATGGTGATGGTGATGGTGCGAATTTTGGTGATAATATGGATGCAAATCGACCTTACAGCCCACTTGAAGTAGAATTTGGGCTTGCTGCTACTGGTGGACTTTTTATTAATATGACAGAATACGGAAGAAATTCATTTGCTGAATCTAGTGAGGGTCAAAGTGCACGTACAACTCGATCAAAAGGAAAAGCAAAGAAGCACCACTATGAAATTTCTAGAGGTTCTTCATCTTCAGGTGAGAGACCAAATTCTAGTAACTTTGAGTATAGTGAATCATCTGCTAGTACTCAAAGACATTACTATCCACCAGAACAACATAATTTTCAACCTCCTCATGGTTATCCACCTCCATATGGTTATTATCCACCTCAAATGTATCAAGAACAAAAGTCTCAGAGATGGAGATGGAGTCAACTTGGCTCTCAAAGTGAAGATAGAGAATCTGATCCTCCTCGTCATTCTACCATGTGATAAATTTGAAATATGTATCAATAATTGTAGTTGATGGAATTTGAATTTATTATATTTTTAAGTTTGTAATTTTATTAAATTAAATGCTTGGTATTTAACATATTATGTTTTGTTAATATTTGATTTGTCTAGAATTAATATTGAATATGAACTTGGCCAAGAAAAATTTTATGGATAAACCAAATATGAATGCTTTTTATAATCTAAATAAAATTGTGAATAATTTTTTTAGAAAATAAAAAACATAGAGTGTCATAAACTATTTTTAAAATCATTGAATAAGAGTTTTTATAATTATAATTATAATTATTACATTTTATAATAAATTGTGCAAAAAAAAAAATTCACGACCGTGATGATCGCAGTGACCGCAATTATCTCCGTTATATCTGAAAACACGACAAATGCTATGCGACCGAAAACGTGAATGCAACCGCTATTTAAATCCCTGGTGTGGTCTATTGGAAAGGCATGAAGAGGGAAGTATGATAATTTGTGAGGCAATGCGTCGCTTGTCAGCAATGTAAATATGATATAACAGTTTATCCTGGGCTGCTGCAACCATTTCCAATTCCTGACAAGGTATGGCTAGAGATGTTTATGGACTTCATAGAGAGGTTACCAAAATCTATTGGTAAGAAGGTGATTATGCTGGTGGTTGATAGATTGAGCAAATTTGCTCACTTCATAACCTTTTCTCATCCTTACTCAAGCCATTACTGTGGCTCAAGCTTACTTGGACGATGTTTGTAGGCTGCACGGTGTTCCTAATAGTATTGTATCAGATCAGGACAAGGTTTTTACCAGCTTATTTTGGCAAGAATTATTCAGATTGTTAGGGACAAAACTAAAGCTATCATCTTCTTATCACCCTCAAACTGATGGCCAAACAAAGGTTGTCAATAGGTGTTTGGAGATCTATTTACGGTAAATGACTGGAGAAAGGCCTAAGGATTGGTCTGAGTGGGTGCCTCTGGCTGAATGGTGGTATAAAACTAGCTACCATTCTTCCATTCAGACTACACCATATGAGATATTGTACGGCCAACTTGCCCTGATATACATGCCATATTTACCTGGAGACTCTAAGGTGGGAGAGGTGGACAGAAGTTTAAAAACCAGGGAGGCAACAATACAATTGATAAAATTCCATTTGAATTAAGCTAGGAACAAGATGAAACAGCAGGCTGATAAACACCGATCATACAGGACCTTCACAATAGGAGACTATGTTTTATGTTAAATTGCAATCTTATAGGCAATTATCGATTGCTAACAGGAGGTGCCTTGAGCTTGCAGCAAAATTTTTTGGGCCGTACAAAGTCATACAGAAGATAGGCGTTGTTGCTTACAGGTTGGAGTTGGGGCAAAAGACTTGTATACATCCAGTCTTTCATGTATCTCAGTTGAAGAAACATTCGGAAAGCACCAGCTTAATCCACTCTTCCACTACTTGATGACGATGGAACTCTGACTAAGGAACCAATCCCAATTTTGGACAAAAGGATGAAAAAGAAATGCGGGAAACTGGTAACGGAAGTGCTTGTACAGTGGATCAATTGCTTTCTTGAAGATTTAACTTGGGAGGTCTTATATGAGTTGCAGAAACATTTCGTTGAGCAAATCTATATAAAAATAGCTAAAATGATTTAAATTTGTTTGTTAGTTGATTATTCAGTAACTTCATTATGATGTAATAGTTGGGTGCTTAGTTGTTTTTTAGGTTGTTAATTGCTAATCAGTAAGTTAATTATGATGTAATAATTAATTATATGAATATAATATTTGATTATAATTATAACTCTAAAAAAAATTAACAAATAATATAATAAAAATTTTAACTTTAATTGATTTTTTAGTTTCAAAAAAAACTTTAATTAAAATTTTTAAAAATATGTAAGTACAATGTTGAATTTTTAATTTTAATAATTAAAATTTAAATGTGGATAATCTCATATACTTAAATAATAACTTTAATTCCAAAAGAATGCCCTTGTCATTTTTTTCTCCATAATAATTAATTACATTTTATAAATAAACCTTATTGTTAAATTTAAAATTTTTACTTTTTTGTATAACAAAATTTTATTTTATTTTTATTTTTTAAAAATATAATGGAATTTTTTTGTTTCTATTTCATGTACTTTTACTTTCTATATTACAATTATTTATTTTGACTTTAACTTGGGCTTGATTAAGGTTTCTTTTGTTTGGGCCATTTGCTTGATTGCATTGCGCGTGTTTTGAAGTTGTATTAGCACAATACGGTGCGGTTTTTTGTTCGAAGATTAAACCAGTTAACCTTTCTATTACACTCTCCACCTCCCCAAAGGCGACGGCAACTACGACGGTATCTCCGGTAATATTTTCTGCTTCCTTCTTCTTTCTAATTAGATTTGATTTCATTGCCAATATTTTTTCTTGTATATGTTAAATGATTTTTTGCTCATTGCCAACTTCGTATGTAGCATTAACTTCGACAGCAAATTGATAAAGTTCACTGGCTTTTACAATCTAATTCTCACTAATCGTTCAAAAGTAAGTCAAAATACAATCTGGGTATATCAAAATTGGATTAAAATTTATGAACTTTGGGTTGTTTAAGTATTTTCATGTGCATTCATGATGTTATTCGTAAATTTTAATGCTTTTATTTTGTTTCTTGTACTCTAGGTGAGCTCTGATTCTTAATTAAAGTTCAAACCAAAAAAAAATGATCAAAGTTTACAATTGTCGTCACAAATTGTTGTTGGGGTGGATTGCATTGGTGAGAAGTTATTGTTCAAGTGAATCAACAAGGGATGTTTTAGTTACAAGCAACAAAGTTTGTAAAATCATGATGTCTTCTTCTCCAATGGTGCTTGATACAGCTCTTGATCAAAGTGGGCTAAGGGTTTCACCTGAAGTAGTGGAGGATGTTCTTAAGCGGTTCGAGAATGCTGGTATGTTGGCTTATAGATTTTTTGAATGGGCAGAGAAGCAGCGGAATTATATGCATAGTATTAGGGCTTATCATACTATGATTGAATCTTTGGCTAAGATAAGGCAGTACCAGATCATGTGGGATCTTGTGAATACGATGAGGAACAAGAGCATGTTGAATGTTGAAACGTTTTGTATTATTATGAGAAGGTATGCAAGGGTTCAGAAGGTGGAGGAAGCGATTTATACATTTAATGTCATGGAGAAGTATGGTGTACCGCCAAATTTAGCAGCATTTAATGGCTTACTAAGTACCTTATGTAAGTCCAAGAATGTGAGGAAAGCCCAGGAGATTTTTGATAGAATGAAAGATCAATTTGTGCTGGACTCAAAAACGTATAGTATTTTGCTTGAAGGATGGGGTAGGGCTCCGAATTTGCCAAAAGCTAGGGAGATCTTCAGAGAAATGGTTGATATGGGTTGTGACCCTGATATTGTGACCTA